CACTGGCATTTAGTTATTGCAAAGATTCAAGTATCATCTCGGAAGTGATAGCCATAGGGATAAGCGAATGTCTTCATAAACTCAAACCAGTCCTGTAGCTTCAGATAACAGCATTTGAGAACCAAGTGGGACAAGTGAACTGCTGAAATGATGGGCTGTCATGAGCAACCAAAGCTTCTACAGGCTAAGCAGAGCAGTTAAGCCCTGAGGTAACATTACCAGTTGGCATATAATTCATTCTACACAGGACACATAGGGTTATTTTTTCCTCAAAAAAAATAGCTATGAGGGATTCTAAGTCCTGCTGCTGTGCGTCCCATAGGTGAAACCAGGTCATCTATGACCTGTGCTGGAGAGACCATGACGCCACGAATAGAACCCAGAGGAGTTACAGGCCACATTCCCGGTATAGCAAAATACTGAGGAACATAACTGGACTTTTGTCATGCAGCTCTACAGCTAGTGAACACCGGAGAGCATTGTGACACTGGTATTTAGACCTTTCTAGATAACTGTGCTATCAATAATTTAAAATGAATTGCAAAGCCACTACTGAGTACCTCACATCATAAATATTTTAGTTACTTGCTTCAAAACTAAGACATTTTATAAAGCCAAAATTTAAATCAGGCTCCCTGTAAAATCTCAGTTATGCCTCAGGCCAAAGACAACAGAATTGAAACTCTGACTAAAACCTACTTTTAATTGTGGACTAATGCAAAAGAGAGAATTTCTATACTTGCATAGTAGTAGCGTGCCTGAACTATTTTGCATAGCTCATACTGCCTATCGAGAAAGTTGGGGTTTGGTGACCAGAGAGACCGTAAACACAAGGGCTAAATGTGCAAACAAACCCACAGAGACTTAATTCAACAAAACCATCCAGTACATTGTCAAGAAAGGCAAACCCAAAACCCTGCATGCAGAAGCCGAAGCCACTTGGCAAACAAGTCTCAGTAGAAAAAGGCTCCGTTCGTGTCAGTCTTTCTGCAGTGAGACATGTGATGAGCATCAGCGGAGAGACAAAGATGAAGCACAACTGTCAGACCAGACAGACGGTATTTGGGAGCCTATGTCGGCAGAGCTGCTCCACCAACTCTGCCAAGACCTGAGATTCTGCTTTTCCTCACCTTCAGCTTGCAGATGGAAGCAAGTTACACCCCACAGTGAGCCAGGAGGATCCACTCTGTCTCCTCCTCTTAGGAGCAACACTGCCCATGGCAGCAGATACACGGGCAAGCACTTAGAGGACCCACTGGCTGCAGAGAAGTTTTCTCAGGTCGCAGTTTAAAGGTCTCCAATAAGAATTTAATTCAACAAACCAGTTACTGCATAGTAAATCCCCCGAGAACTACATACATGTCTTGATTGCTGCTGAACCTCAGTAAACGAGTCCTTAATCATCAGTTGGCAATTAATTATCAAACAAGAACTAATTGCACCAGACAGGTAGCCGCTTAGATTGAAGTCAGTCGTTTTACGCTAATTAAATAGAGAGGTCCATGAATTACACAAATATGTTCCAACCAACATACAGGCAGAGACGAGCACTGGGGTGGTAGGGAGAAAGAGTTATTATTTATTGGCCCAAGAAAGCACCCACAACAAGTGTAGGCTGCAGCATGACATCCTCAGCGCAGCTCCCTTGGGCCTGGCGCTGGCAGCAGAGCGCTACTCCTCCACACGTGGGGTGAGGCAGGAGAAACGGAAAGCCTTGCGCAGAGACCTCAGCACTCTCCTGAAGCGGTTCAGTCGTCGCCGTGGGGCCGCTCCTGGGTCTGGAAGAGTGGCAATGCCTGTGGGGGAAGAAGAGCTGTAGGTGAGGGACTTCCTTTGGCAACGCATTCCAGTGCCTCACCACCCTTACAGTAAAGAACTTCCTCCTTAAATCCAATCTAAACTTCCCCTGTTTAAGTTTTAACCCGTTACCCCTTGTCCTATCACTACAGTCCCTAATGAAGAGTCCCTCCCCAACATCCATATAGGCCCCCTTCAGATACTGGAAGGCTGCTATGAGGTCTCCACGCAGCCTTCTCTTCTGCAGGCTGAACAGCCCCAGCCTTCTCAACCTGCCTTCATACGGGAGGTGCCCCAACCCCCCTGATCATCCTCGTGGCGCTTTCCACCAAAGGCTTGCAGCCCTCAGCCCATGGAGGGGAGGCTGGGACACACCCGAACCCATGCACACACTGCTGCCGGCCTGGCCTGGGTGCCACCCAACTCGGGGAAGTACCTGGCTGGTTCTCGCTGTCCTGAACTACAGCAGGCGACATTGATGGTAATTCCACACGCAAGCTTTGTGCCACGTCTGGCTCTTCCACCTGCTGCTGCCTTGTTTCCTGGATGACAGCCACAGCCTTGCCCAGGTGTTTCCTCACAAAGCGTCTGATCCTACCCTGCAGGGTAGCAAAAGCACAGGCAGGGGATGGGGGCAATGTCAGTGGGATGACACAGGGAGCACCAGAAACAGCCTTGTCACAAACCCCCTGGGAGCTGCCATCCAAGGCCTTGGGATCCCCGGTGCCAACCACACACGCCTCACTCACCTGGCGCCGAGAGTCCCGAGACAAGGGAGAAGCTGCTGCATCTGCTCCTGGAGGAACGTGGGATGTTCCAGCCTCTGCTGCAGGAATCTCAGTCAAGGGAGGGGCCACTTCATCCTCAGGCGCTGTTGGGGAGGCAACAGCTGCGCTGGCTTCTCCCTGAGGCTCTGAAGACACAGCAGACTCAATGTCCTCAAGTGGTGCAGGCATCAATGCTGCCACTGACACACTGAGGATTTGGGTCATGTCCTGATATTCCACCAGCTGTTGGCTGGTTTCCTGATCCACACCCTGGACCGGAGGCTCCCTTGTGATGAGCACGGCTGCTTCCTGTGGAACCACCTCATGTGCATTTGGACTGAGCAGGGCAAGTGCCTGCCTCTGTGCCTGTGGTGCTGCCTCCTGCTCATCAGCACCGAGGGAAGCTGGTGTCAGTGCCGCCTTCTCCCCTTGTGACACAGGAGTGAGAGGTGGGCAGTGCTCCTCTTCCTCTGTAGCTTCACCCAGTGTAGAAGCTGCCAGTTTGGTGTCCGTGGGAACGGCTGGGACAGGTGACGCTCTCTGCAAGTCCACAGCTGCCTCTCCTGTCACATCCTTGCCCTTGCTGCTGGGGAAGTCAGTCCCCTCCTGGGTATCGGCCTGGGGGTCCTGGAAGAGCTCCGGGACGGAAGGGTTGACCCAGAGGTTGTGTATGGTGACCTCTTCCACTTGGGACAGCACTTTATCAGTGCCCTCTTCCCTCTCTTTCTCCTCTTTGGCCACTGCCACATCCAGGATTTGGGTCATGTCCCGAGGTTCCACCAGCTGCTGGCTGGCTTCCTGGAACAGTCCAGTGATGTTCGTTGCCATTTCTTCTGCAACCATCTCACAGGCATCTGGACTGAGCAGGGCAGGTACCTGCCTCTGTGCCTGTGGTGCTGCCTCCTGCTCGCCACAGACAGGAGACGCTGGTGCCGGTGCTGCCTCCTCCTCTTGTGACACTGGAGTGAGAGGTGGGCAGTGCTCCTCTTCCTCTGCAGCTTCACCCAGTGTAGAAGCTGCCAGTTTGGTGTCCCTGGGAACGGCTGGGACAGGAGACGCTCTCTGCAAGTCCCCAGCTGCCTCTCCTGTCACATCCTTGCCCTTGCTGGTGGGGAACTCAGACCCCTCCTGGGTATCTGCCCCGGGGTCTTGGAAGAGATCTGGGACGTAAGGGTTGACCCAGAGGCTGTGTAAGGTGATCTCTTCCGCTTGGGACAGCACTTTTTCAGTGCCCTCTTCCCTCTCTTTCTCCTCTTTGGCCACTGCCACATCCAGGATTTGGGTCATGTCCCGAGGTTCCACCAGCTGCTGGCTGGTTTCCTGGACCAGTCCAGTGATGTTCGTGGCCATTTCTTCTACAGCCGTCTCATAGGCATCTGGACTGAGCAGGGCAGGTACCTGCCTCTGTGCCTGTGGTGCTGCCTCCTGCTCGCCACAGACAGGAGACGCTGGCGCCGGTGCTGCCTCCTCCTCTTGTGACACTGGAGTGAGAGGTGGGCAGTGCTCCTCTTCCTCTGCAGCTACAGCCAGTGTAGAAGCTGCCCGTTTGGTGTCCCTGGGAACGTCTGGCACAGGAGACGTTCTCTGCAAGCCCCCAGCTGCCTCTCCTGTCACATCCATGCCCATGATGCTGGGGAAGCCAGACCCCTCCTGGATATCTGCCTGGGGGTCCTGGAAGAGCTCCGGGACGGAAGGGTTGACCCAGAGGTTGTGTACGGTGAGCTCTTCCACTTCGGACAGCTCTTTGTCTATGGCCTCTTCCCACTCCTCTTCCTTTCTCTCCAACTCCTCATCATCAGCTTCCTCATCCAAGGTCCCTGGCGCCACCTGTAATCACACAAGAGGGATGCAGGAGGTGAGTAGGCTTCACTTGGGTGGAGCAGTGGCTGGCCACTTCATCCCCCTGTCCTTTCCCTTCCTGTCCTTGGCACTCACCTGCCTGTGACTGGGCATCCGTCTGCACCGCAAGGCCGCACGAGGCCTCCGGCCCTCCTGCTGCTGGAGCTGCCTTTCCACAGAGCTGCCCAGCAGCCAAGGCAGGCTGGCTGTCCTTTGCATGTGGAGCCTGTGCCTGGTGTGGGCCATGCTGCTCCTCTCCGGCTCCTCCAGAGGCTCTGGCAGAGGGAGCAGCGGGAACCTCCCTGCCACAGATAGCCCATGCAAGACTCCTGCTTGAATCTCGTCTGTATCTCCGGTGCCAGCCATAGGTTCCTCCCTCACCAGGTGCTCAGATTCACGAGCAAAAGCAGAAGCTCCTGCATTTCCTTCGTTGGCTACTTCTGGGGCACAGTGGCATGCTCCAGCCTCTGCCACAGGCATCTCAGTCCATGAAGCTGCCACTTCCTCTTGCTGTGTTTCTGGTAAGATAATGCCTGTTTCAGCCTCTCCTTGATGGTCTCCACACACAGGAGACTCAGTGCCCCCAGTCCCCGCAGATGCCATTACTGCTGTTGCTTCATCTAAGTTTTGGGTCATGTCCTGACGTTCCGCCAGCTGCTGGCTGGTTCCCTGGACCACAGCCAGATTCATGATCAGGACCTGCTTGGTGATGCTCCTGGCCATTTCTTCTAGAATCATCTCAGAGGTGTGTGGGCTGAGTAGAGCAAGTGCCTGGCTCTGTGCCTGGGGTGCTGCCTCCTGCTCACCACAGGCAGGAGACACTGGTGCCGGTGCCACCTCCTCCTGTGCCACTGGAGTGAGAAGTTCATGGTGCTCCTCTTCCTCTGCAGCTACAGCTAATGTAGAAGCTGTCGACTCAGTGTCTGTGGGTCTGGCTGGAGTAGGAGACATGGTCTGCAGGTCTGCAGTAGCCTCTTCTGCCACATCCATGCCCACGCTGCTGGAGCAGCCAGGCCCCTCCTCGATATCCTCCTGGAGGTCCTGGAAGGGCTCTGAGACCAAAGGGTCGACCCAGAACCTGGAGGTGATCTCTTCCCCTTCGCACAGCCCTTCGTCTGTGTCCTCTTCCTTCCGGTCACACTCCTCATCATCAGCTTCCTCATCCAAGGTCCCTGGCACCTCCTGTAACCACACAACAGGAATGCAGAAGATGAGTTTACGGAGCAGTGGCTGGCCACAGGCAGACGAAGACTCATACCCCTGTCACGTCCCACCCTGTCCTTGGCAATCACCTGCCTGTGACTGGGCATCCATCTCTGCCTGGGTGGCAAATGATGCCCCTTGCTCTCCTCATGCTGGAGCTCTCTCTTCACAGAGCTACCCAGCAGGCAGCCCGCTTGGCTGGCTCTCCTTTGCATGTCGAGCTTGGGCCTGTTGTGGGCCATACTGCTCCCCTCCAGCTCCTCCAGAAGCTCTGGCACAGGGAGCGGCGCGAATCTCCCTGCCACACACACCCCGGGAGCTGCGCTCGCCTCCAGCACCTCAGGATCCCCAGCACTGGCCGCAGGCACCTCACTTACCAGGTAACGAGAGTCACAAGCCAAGGGAGTCGACACTGCCTCTCCTTCATCGCCTGCTCCTGGTGCAAAGTAGGGTGCTCGAACCTCTGCTGCAGCCTTCTGAGGCAACGAAGCTGTCACTTCACCCTCATGTGCTTTTGGGGAAACAAGGGCTGTGCTGGCCTCTCCCTGATGGTCTCCAGATGTGGAAGATGCCCTGTCTTCTTCAGCCTCATCTGCTGTTGGGATGGGAGAGGCTGTGCCGGTCTCCATATGAGACTCTGCAGCCACAGGAGACTGAGCGTCCCCAGCTGCTGCAGGCGTCAATGATTCCACTGTCACATCCAAGATGTGGGACATGTCCTGCTGTTCCAAAGGCTGCTGCTCGGCTCCGTGGACCTCAGAAGCAGCCTTCAGCAGGACCTCCCTTGTGATAAGCCTGGCTGTTTCCTCTAGAACTATCTCACAGGCATCTGGGCTGAGCAAGGCAGGTGATGGATGAACATGAGAAATAGCCTACTGGGCATGGGTATTTATCCATCCAGCCCATATTATTAGACACTGATTAAACCTGGGAGAAGTATAGTTCGGAGTTCAAACTATGCTTTTTGGTATCCAATGCACAATATAATGCTTTCTGTAGTCAAGCCCAGAATCAGAAAGGGAGGAAGATGGTTTTAAACATTTCCTTAGCCCTTCTCAAAAGCAGAGATCATGCTGAGCCACTAACACTTCATTCTTTATTTCATCCAAGTAGTCACTGAAAACATACATGTCCACCTGGTTATTATAAACACAATAAATTCCTGCACAGAATATAAACAGATATCAGCTCCACTAGCATGTTTTCACTCTGGGGTACAGAAATGTACATTCCAAATCCTCAGCCTTTCTGAAGCAAAAGTCCAGACTTCAGGAAGCTCTTCTGTAATGTAGACAAATACATCCATTAGAGACTGGCCTGGTGCCATCATTCTAAATAGCAGAGATTTTAAGATAGAAAGGCTAGCACATTATCTCACTGTCTCGCTCCATTTAAGTTGATTTAATCTAGCAATTTCATTAATTTGTAAGAGGGAGAAAAGTTCCCAAAAGCTCTATCAATTAAAACAGCCTTGCTTTCAAGCTGTCTCTTAACTCACATTCAAGCAAAACACTAAGTCATTGCATATGCCACCCCCAAAAAAGCACTACCTTGGCAGAATCACCACAACCCCAAACCAGCACAACTCTGCTCTCAAGAGTATTAAAATCAGAAGTAATACTTGTGAATACCACTGAAATAAATCAGTGGAATAAACATCAAGCATGAACAGGTGAAGACATACTGCTGCATATGACATGACATTGGCTGCTTGTTCATAACTGAGTCATCTCCAATTAAATCATCTCCAATGAGGACAAGAAGTATCCAAAAGCAGTGTAACCTTGCACTGCCACTGGTGAAATATTTTTTTCCATTAGTTTCCAATGATTTACCTTACTACTGGTCTGCCAGTATTTATCTAATATTCCAGCAGTGAGAAGTACTTCCATATACTTGAGAAATTTGAGACTACTTTAATAGAGCATTAAAAAAAAATATATTTACAACACTCATAAGCACCACAAACTGGATTATTCAGTATGGTTCTGACTTCAAGCTCAATATATTGGTAAGAATAAGCAGGTCTAATTTGCAGAAACCTCATTTGTTTAATAAACTTAGGGATAATCATATTTGTAATATTTTATTTGTGATATTTTCTTTTTTTTCCTTTACTGCAAGGCCAAACCCCAATAAGAAGTCACTTTTACAATCAAAACCTGAATTCCAACTGCAATGAAATATTCTGTTTTAAAAAATGGTTTTCTATACATCATAGAATCACAGAATCATAGAATCGTTAGGGTTGGAAAGGCCCTTAAGATCATCTAGTTCCACTCTTAGAATAATAAGAGGCCCTCAAGTATTAGAAAAGCTTTACCTCACCATCTGTGAAGAGATGACTTATGATTTCATAAAATGTGAATTATGCTTAGGAATACTCTCATTGCTATAAAACTGTCTCCTTTTATGTATTCATGAAGTCTTACTGTTTCTTTACACATTCGACTGCTCAGAAGTAGGAAGGCGATGGCATACCCAAAAGACATTTTTGCAAAAACAAATAGATTGCAAAGAGCATTTAAAATTACCATTTTAAATTAGACAGCTTAACCAAGCACGTGTGCTTTAAATCCACACTTTCTTCAGAAACAGTGCAAGCTCCCAAATAGTATCTATGGTGAGAGAATGGGAAGGTCCCCATTAGCATGGTAAACACCCCCACAATGATGGAAGAAAAGCTGTGTCACTCCTCAGCCCACTTGTTGACAACACGCTTGCCTTCAAACCTACAACTCCTCATCTGTTTTTCTCTAAGAAAGCAACACAAACCTTCAGTACAAACTATATAAGCAGGTGAAATGTTGCCCCTGAATGGTACTTAAAGTATTACAATCATAATATAAATAAATCTAAGTATTTACATATAAAAATATACATAAACACTAATAATAACCTGAATGCATTGCAAAACCGCTTAAATTCACCTGAAGAAGGGTTTGCCTCCTAGAGCACACTTAAAAAGTCTAACGGAGCTTACTCAGCTGCATGTAATATATATATTATACATATTTATATATCATATATAAATATATATATTATATATATCTGTTTCACGGACACCCCCTTGTTGTGGGGAAAGAGCTTGCGTGCCCTTGTGAGGCTGGAGCTATGCTGGGGGTGGCTTATGCCTCCGGTAGGGTCTCCCATGCCAGACAGGTCTCAACTGAAGGGTCAGACAAAGTGTGTCCATGGGCAGGATGGGCTCACTACCCTTTGAGCAACCATCCTAGGAGAAGGACAGCTCTAACTTCAAACCCAGGCAGATGGAGCTCACATAGCCCTGTAAGGCCATCCATCAAAGAGAAGGACACTTTAATCAAACCTACGACCTGAGGACTTTGCTGTCACCATCCAAGCTCGCTAGACCCTGGCAGATAGACCTCAAGCGTAAAGGGAGGGGCCAGTTCTGTGCACACTGTGCCTCACCTAAAAAAATCCACTGTACAGGCCCGAGGGGTTTACCCACACACACAAAGCCCTGTAGCGACAGGCGAGGGATGAAAAGGCAGGTGATAAGGTGCACTGGAAGTGGCAGACCCAACCCTGAGTGCAGGCGGTTCAGGACATCGGTTGCCCGAAACTGACCCAGGAGATGACAGTCTTGTTTGGCAACATCCTGAGTGACCAAGCAGGCTTCTTTCAAGGAGAGCACTGCTTGCTCCATATGGAGAGAGGCCTAGAAAAGGTGGCCTAACCAAAGCTCATCTCCCCCTCCACTTGGTTGGCTAGCTGCAGCCAACGGGCATCTTCTGTTGCGGTTGATTAAAGACAAAGAGACAAAGGCATACACCTGTCTCCAAAGGTGTGTCCAGATTGACACTCACATGTTGGAACATCAGAACCATGCTTGATACAGCAAACAGCGGGCATCCTGAGCGCCATTCTGCACTAATTGTCCACGAGTTGTCACAACTTAACATCGATATTATTGCTCTCAGTGAAGTTAGCCTTCATGAGGAAGGTAGCCTTAAGGAACATGGTGCCGGCTATACACTCTACTGGTCAGGCAAATCCAAAACTGAAAGTCATCTTTCTGGAGTTGGCTTCATGATTAAAAACTCCATCATCTCCAAACTTGAAAATTTGCCTATAGGTCATTCTGATCGTATTATGTCTTCCACTACACAATAAGCAACATGTTGTTCTTTTCAGTCTATATGCTCCAACTCTGCAAGCTGACCCTGGAGAGAAAGAAAAATTCTACTCCGACCTGTGTCACCTCACTCAAAAGGTTCCTATAGAAGATAAGATCATAATCCTTGGTGACTTCAGCACCCGAGTAGGTAAGAACTTTGAAGCCTAGAAAGGAGTACTAGGCAAGCACGGTGTTGGCAGCTGCAATGATAACGGTCACCTCTTACTAGAGTTTTGCGCAGAGCAGCAGCTTACCATCACCAACACCATTTTCCAGCAGAAAGACAGCTGGAAGACAACCTGGATGCATCCTCCATCTAAACATTGGCACCTTATTGAGTATGTCTTAGTGCGCCAGAGAAATATTCTTGATGTCTGTCACACCTGAGTGATGCCTAGTGCAGAATGTCAAACAGACCACCGCCTGTGCGTTGCAAACTTCCACTTCAAGCCCAAACCTAAGAGGGGCAGCATTTGGAGGAGGAGGCTCAATGTTAATAATCTCCAAATAGCTGCAGTGAGGGCTGCTACAGCTACAGCTTTCAGGCTAACCTTCAAACTAGGCTTGAAGATCAGCTTATAGGTTCTTCTCCTGAAGCGCTTTGGCAGCATATTAAAAATAGCATCCTGCAGTCCTCCGTAGAATCCATTGGGTTCTCCTTAAAGAAAAACAAAGACTGGTTTGACGATAGCAACCAGGAGGTCCAGGAATTGCTGACAAAGAAGACAGCTGCTCATCAAGCACACCTCGCTCAGCCACCTTGCCATGTAAGAAAAGCAGCCTTTCTTCTTGCATGTAGCAAACTCCAACAGAAACTTCGAGACATCCAGAATGAGTGGTGGCTCAACCTAGCAGAAAAGACTCAATTATGTGCAAATTTGGGTGACCACAGAGGATTCTGTGAGGCTCTGAAAGCAGTGTGTGGACCCACATTTCAGGTTCAAAGCCCCTTACTGCAGATGGCCAAATGGTTCTTACAGATAAAATCTCCATCCTGAATCATTGGTCTGAACATTTTCAAACACTCTTTAGTGCTAACTCGCACCAACTTTATTCACAATCTTCTTCAGCATGATGCTCCAAAGTGCTACGGTAGACCTCGACAATCAAAATGGCATTTATATTCGATATTGTACTGATGGTAGCCTACTCAATCTAAGGCAACTGAAGGCCCACACTAAGACCCTAAATCATCTTGTCCGTGAAATGCTTTTTGCTGACGATACCGCCCTTGTTGCCCACACAGAAGCAGATCTGCAGTATTTAACATCTTGCTTTGTGGAGGTGGCTGAGCTTTTTGGGCTGGAAGTCAGCTTGAAGAAGACAGTAGTTCTCTACCAACCTGCACCACAAGATTATCATCATCGCCACATTACCATTGGCAAGTCAGAGTTTAAGTCAGTTCAGCAGTTCAGCTATCTGGGAAGCATTATTTCCTCGGATGCCATGATCAACAAAGAGATAGACAACAGAATAGCAAAGGCACATAGAGCCTTCGGAAAACTCCATAAAAAGAGTCTGGTGCAATAAACACCTGAAGAAAAGTACAAAGATTAGTGTCTATAGAGCCATTGTACTGTCTACTCTATTATATGGTTCTGAAACATGGGTCATCTACTGTCATCACCTGCGACTTCTCGAACGCTTTCATCAGCGCTGCCTCCATAAGATTCTAAACATCCATTAGACTGACTATGTGCCATATGTTACTGTCCTCAAACAGGCAGGGGTCACCAGTATCGAGACCATATTGCTGAAATTGCAGCTGCGCTGGGCAGGGCACGTCTCTAGGATGAAGGATTACTGCCTCCCTAAGATCGTGTTTTATGGTGAACTTGCCACCGGTAGCCACAAGAGAAGTGCCCCAGAGAAGAGATATAAGGACTCCCTGAAAAAATACCTTAGCCTTGCCCATATTGACTACCATCAGTGGTCCACCTTGGCCTCCAATCGGGAGACTTGGAGACACACCATACATAATGCCGCTGACTCCTTTGAGAACTCATGCAGAACTAGTCTCAAAGAGTAAAGACAACGTAGAAAGAATTGTGCCCCGCTTATACCACCCAAGGAGACCTTTCACTGTGCTTTTTGCAGCCGGATTTGCCTACCTCACATTGGCCTTTTTAGTCATCAGCACGCTTGTAGTAAGCATGGGTAAAGCCCTTCCCAAATCTTCGTTCCAGAAGACAAACCGTGATGATGATGATATATTTATATAATATTTATATATTATATAACTTATATAAATTAAACATATCTTGGTTTTTTTATTTATTTATTTTTAATTGGGAAACCTGAATTCTACCTTCTACCTCTTATCTATAGATAAAGCTTTTAATGTAGCATCATTCAGTGATCTAGTCTTACTGGTTACTTCATGCTTCAATCCTATTACAGAGCTAACAAAGAAGACAACAGACTAAACTTTGGAAAGTGTAGCATGGTCTGGAAACTCACTGTATTATCCAAGTGTGATGGGCAGACATGCACCAGCTAAGGAATATGCAGGATTGTAAACATTCTTTTTCTCAACTGAGCAGCTGTTCATTTGACTGCTTTGGGGGTGGTTTGTGTGTGTGTGTTTAATATTGTATCATTAAGGACCCTAAGTCTTATTTGGTTGATGCCAACACTTTTAAAGTAAGCTTGTGATTTCCTAGTGCCTTGATCAAATTATGTGGTTTCATGTGTTTCTGTTCGCTACACGGCAGTAACCATAACACGCTCTGTGCAAAAAAAAGAACCACAAGAAATTTTTGACTGTCTAACCTGAAAGCTGTAGGGTTTCACCATTGCAGTTTCCTGTAGGAATGGCAAAAAAACACACACTTCAAATTCAGAAGTTAAATTCCTTCCAAAGTGCATTTAGGTCCAAGCAGAAATTCAGTGACGTACACACAGAATCACCAGTTCAGAAAACTGTTCCTTCTGCAGGCCACATAGAGCCACTGTGCACAGGATGGGCTCTGACAAAAGCTGATTTCCATCAGCCCATGAACTCACACTCTTCACATAACCAGTTTTCTTGCAGAACATCCTGCAGCCAGTGTGACACAGACTCAGTAGCTACTACTTACATCTGACGGACTTGTCAGGGTGGCAGAATGCCTGCCTTGAGCAGGAGCCATCTCACGCAGCCCTTAATGGCAAGTTCCTTGTTTTGCACTGGTGTTCCCTCTTTCAGGCATGAGTGTCTGCTTTACATCCACAGAATGGAACTCTCTCCTGGAATGCACGGGCTTACAATCAGGTTAATCCTTGCACCCCCTCATTGCCCTCACAAGGAGTGGACGGCTACATGCCTCACTCACTCACTCACTTAGGGTTTCAAGCATGCCTTTGGGATGCAGGAACTCAGATTCATCTCTCTTCCTCAGCTTTGAGCAGGAGCTCCAGGTTTGCAAGGCAGCCCGAAGGCTCAGAAACCTGCCCAGTTAGAGCCAGAGCACGAGCATGTTCACCAAGTGACATCTG